CAGTACACAAGTGTATGTCACACAAAAAGATTTTAGATTTTAGATCACTTACTAGCTACGTTAGCATTGTAGCTCTTGTGGAAAAATAAAGAAACAAACTTTGGACACCAAACGCTTGGATGAGGACTACGTTTAATGATAACTATGTTTGGAATAAAATAGGAGAAAATTGTGATTTTTTTTGTCAACAATTCCTTGAAGACTACACTAGTAAGACATCACTGTTTCAATGCATCAAAGCAGCTGTATTATAAATGGATCAACATTTTGACCTGCCATACAATAAGCCTTTACAGAAGTACTTCCTAAAGGACACTGCGAGTTTAAAAGTTCAGCACAGACTAAAGTAGATCCAGACTTGCAGGAGACAAGCGGTCACTAGTTTTCTTGGACCCTGTGTTCATCAGCAGCCAAGCGACTTGCACACTGGCTCATGATTTAGAGCTTTTTCGCTCTTGTTCTCAGTGAGCGAGTACCACCCTGAGGATATTTTTCCTGCTGCCTTTGGAGGGGCTGATGGTTCTTATAATTGTTCACTGGCGTGAATCAGCCATCACAAAACACTGGAGCACATTGAGAGCCCTGGCAGAGGGCAGCAAGAAGGTGATGAAGTGGCAGTGAGAATGAACTTAATCCCCTAAGCTCTTGTTGGGGCTTGTCTTTGCTCTCCCTCCTTCCCCCAGAAAAGACCCCAACCTCACAAAGCGACTCAAACAAGAGCCCCCAGTTTGAATCTCCTGCAACCTCCCAGAAAAAAAAAGCTCCCTATGCACAGTCGAGCCACCTGGAAAGGAAAGTTGCAGGATCTTTTAAATTACATTGGTAATGTTTGACTAAATCAGTAAAAACAAGCAACACCAAAAAAAAAGTTCTATACTGCAGTTATGGAATCAGTGTGAAGTGTCTGCCAAGGCTCATTTGCAGGGTTGAACTTGTAGTTCTTGCTGATGAATACAGAAATACAGTGCCACATGACTACCTATAGTAAAAAATACTGATGCAATTTTAATTTGCAATGTACATGTAGCAGTTTGACTATGCTAAAACTACAGTACTGTGCAAAAGTCAGAAACCACTTTTTGTTTATTTTGTTTCCAGTCATAAAAGCCATTGAGCTCAAATGATTCATTTCAGCATCAGAAAAAAAGCAGAAAACATAGTTCCGCTGTCCAAATCTCCAAAATAGTAATTTTTTAAGAGAGGGCAAAAGTATTTTTTCTGTAGGATTTTTTTTTTTTCCAAAAAAAAGTTGGGATGCTGTGCAAAATGAAAATAAAACAGAATGCAATGATGTGTTAATCATTTAAACCCTATATTCAATTAAGAATAGTACAAAGACAACATATCATCAAATGTGGAAATTAAGAAATTTCAACACATTTCAAAAAAGTTAGGACAGAGACAACAAAAGAGAGATAAAGTTTTGTAATGCTAAAAAAAATACCCAGTGGAACATCTCACAACTAATTAGATTCACTGGCAGTGGGTCAGTAACATGATTTGGTATAAAAAGATGATCCCAGAGAGGCTGATAAAGATGACGAGGGGCTCACCACTCTGTAAAAGACAGGCAAATAGTGCAACAATTTAAGAATAACATAACATTTCTTGATATAAAATAGCAAAGAACTTAGGGACTTCATCATCTACAGTACACACTATCATTAAAAGAGTCAGAGAATCAGAGGCCATGATCTTCGGGCCCTCAAGTGGCACTGCACTGAAAACACATGATTCTGTAGTGGAAATCATTGCATGGCTTCAGGAACCCTTCCGAAAACCACTGTATGAGAACACAGTTCGTCGCTGCATCCATAAATGCAAGTTACATTTCTACTATGCAAAGAAGAAACCATGTACGTTGATGGAAAAAGTATTTCAATTACTTCTATTTTTGCTAAATTGTCACATTTCAATGTTTCCGATCCTCCAACTAACTTTAATATAAGATAAAGACAACACAAAAAAACACAAAATGCAGCTTTTCAATGATCGATTCATTCATTGAAGATATTTAGTCAAAACCTATGTTACCCACGTGAAAAGGTAATAGCCCCTCTATAACTGATTTTGCCACCCTTGGCAGTAACAACTGCAATTAAACATTTGTGATAACCTACGTTGAGTCTTTTCCATCACTCTGGAGGAATTTTGGCCCACTCTTCTTAGCACAATTGTTTCAACTTGGCTACATTTAAGGGTTTTCATGCATGAACTGCCCGTTTTGGCCATCTCAACGGGATTCAATCAGGACTTTGACTCTTCAAAACCTTAATTTTGTTTCTTTTGAGCCATTCAGAGGTGGTCTTGCTTGTGTGCTTCAAGTCATTGTCCTGCTGCTTAACCCAACTGCGCTTGAGCTTTAGGTCACAAACTGACAGATGGACATTCTCCTTCAGGATTTTCTGATAGAGAACAGAATTCATGGCTCCATTAATTATGACGAGCCAGGCAAGTGAATCCTGCAGTTCTTCAGATGTTTGTCTGGGGTTTTTATGTCCTACTGGATGGGTCATTGATGCGCTCTTGGTGAAATTTTGATAGGACAGCCACTCCTGGGAAGGTTCACCACTGTTCCTCCATTTGTGGATAATGGCTCTTAATGTGGTTCACTGGAGTCCCAATGCCTTAGCAGTGGTTTGTAACCCTTTCCAGACAGGTAGATTTCACTGACTTTGTTTCACATCTGTATTTGAATCTATTTAGAATGGCATCATATGCTGCTTTTTGAGACCTTCTGGCTTGCTTCACATTGCCAGACAGGTTCTTCTCCAGAAATGCCACTGCCTTCTCTAGGCCAAAGCTCATTTAAGATGGACTGAGGTGAAATGGGAAAGCATCAAGTGGTCCATCAAATCAAAATTAAATTTGAAATTGTTTTGGGATATCATTTACGCCACTTCCTCTGGGTTAAAGAGAAGAGGGACCATCCACCTTGTTATCAGCACACAGTTCAAAAGCCAGCATCTGTGAAGGTATGGGGGGGTGCCTTAGTGCTCATGGCATGGGTGACGTACACATCTGTAAAGGCATCATTAATCCTGAACGATATTTGCTGATTTTGGAGCAACATATGCTGCCATCTAGGTGACGTCTCTTTCAGGGAGATTCTTGCTTATTTCAGTAATACAACGCCAAACCACATTCTGCACATATTACAACAGCATGGCTCTGTAGTAGAATAGTCTGCAGTCCAGACCTGTCACCCATTGAAAACATTTGGCGCATTATGAAATGAAGATAAACCAAAGGAGATCCCAAACTCTTAAGCAGCTGAAAACATAAATCAAGCAAGAACGGGAAAACATTTCACTTTCAAAACTACAGCAACCTGTCTTCTCAGTTCCCAAATGCTTACAGAGTACTGTTAAAAGAAAGGTGATGCAACACAGTGATAAACATGCCCCCATCCCAACTTTTTTAAATGTGTCGCTGGCATCAAATTTAAAATGGGCATATGTTTTTCAAAAAAACAATAAATTAAATATTGAATTAAATATTAAATAAAATTTCAACTTTTGATACGTTGTCATTGCACTACTTTCAGTTAAATATAGGATTTAAATAATTTGCCCAATGCATTCTGTTTTTAATTACATTTTGCACAGCATCCCAGTGGGGTTATAGTTGATCTGATGATCTAGATCTTAAAATAAATGTGCAGGTAAAAAAACTTAATGTCTAAAAGCACTAAATTTGAGAGCAATTTCAAAAAGACTGGATCTCTTCAACTTTTATACTGGTGTAATTCTGAGCCTGTAGTTTGTTTTAAAAAAAGCAATGTTCTATCTATAAAGAAACGTGTTGACTAAAACCAAAAACATTACTCAAAGGGAGAGTTTCATTCAGGATAGGAAACTGTTTCGTGAGAAGCTACTTTAAAGGTGTCCAGTTAAAAGTGAAGGCACTGAGATTACTCTTAACTATTAAGTTAAATCTCCACTTTTGATTGACTGATCCATTGTATTTTTCATGAATAACAGTTCTTGTTCCAAATAACAATCTTTTTTCCTCAGTATACCCCTCCTAATTATTGAGACCATGTGCTTCAGCCACATCCATTGCTAACAGGTGTATAAAATCAAGCCCAAAGCCATGCAGTCTTCATAGACAAACATTGGCAAGAGAATGGGTTATAGTGAAAGGCTTAGTGACTTTACACATGGCAGTCATAGGATACCAACAAGTGTGTTTGTGAAATGATAGATCTGTCCCAATCAACTGTAAGTGCTTTTATTGTGAAATGGAAGTGTCTTGGAGCAACAACAGCTCAGCCGTGGAGCGGTAGACCACGCAAACTCACAGAGGGGGCCGCGAGTGCTGAAGTGTGTAGCATGTCAGAATTGCCTCTGCAAACAAAACAGCACAACAACTGAGCATCACAAGCATCATGAAATGAGTTTCCATAGCCAATCAGCTGCATACAACCCTAAGATCACTTTGTGCAAGTGTCGGCTACAGTGGTGTAAAGCATGCTGCCACTGGACTCTGGAGCAGTGAAAATGTGTTCTCTAGAGTGATGAACCACACTTCACCACCTGGCAGTCTGATGGACGAGTCTGGGTTTGAACGCTGCCTAACAGAATGCATAGTGTCAGCAGTAAAGTTTGGTGAAGGAGGGATAATGCAATTATATGATTCCAGGCAATGTCCAAGGCATTGTTTGATGGGTTTGGTGTGGAGGAACTCCAGCGGCCTGAACAGAGCCCTGACGTCAACCCCAATGAACACTTTTGAGATGATTTGGAATGTCAATTGTGATCAGCCAGTGCCTGACCTTACAGATGCTCTTTTGACAGAACAGACACAGACTACCACAAACACACTCAAAAAAATCTTGTGGAAAGAGTTGGTGGGTAACTCCACATTAATGCCCATGGTTTTGGAATGGGATGTCCAGTAAGCTCATATAGGTTTGATGGTCAGATGTCCACATAGTGTACTTCTCTGAAAGCCAATTCTACTAATGTTCACTTCCAACAAAACCACCATGGAGTCTATTTTCAAAAGTAGTCATATATTTCAATATATTCTTCCAGTTTCAGAAACACGTTTGGCAAAACCAAAACATTTGCAATTAGTCCTATAGGATACTCAACCTTTACAGTGTACAAGCGCATTTAATCCTACCACAAGCTTTAAAACACTGAATGAATGCTGCCATATACAACACTAATCACAATACTGACTAACCTGCATGCTGATATACCACACAGCAAAAAGTTAATTAAAACTGTGAAACAAAAACATTGATGACCAACAAGGGGTGGCACTTACAATGACTTAAAATATAAAAATAACATCATACAAGAATGATGCATTGACAAAAGGCTTAATTAATATTACATAGGAGCATACAGATATCTAATTAATAGGCAATGGCATACTGTACAAAGTAAATGTCTGTAGAAAAGGGTTAAGTGGAATACAACAATGCAGTTTCAAGATTGTCAAGCCATTATGTGCTGGATCTACACTGCCCTCTACTGCTCAGAGTCAAACTGTAAGAAATTCTAAGCTACTCACATATCGTCCACTTCAACTCCTTCACAGTGTGTCTGAATGCTGAGGAATGCTGGCAAGTATATAAATAAATTAATAAATACAACAAATTGTACATGCAAATAGGTGAAAATCCCAAAACTAATACATTTGCCTAGTAAAGAACTCTATATATATTCTTAAATTTGCTACAACAATATCAAGTTAACATTTGCCAACTTTTTTTGTTGACATGCCTACTGGACCTGATGTGAAATGAGCCATTCTAGAGAAACTTACCATGTCAGAACGGTTCACAGTGGTGGTGACAGAAACCAGATGTTGAAGTATTTAATGCCTCTAAAAGCTACATCATAAAAGCTATTACACAAAATCGTTACACATACACTGCCTGATGCCTGAAACGTTGTTTTAAGCATGACAGAGGTTCATGCAGGGTGTTTTATGTGAAAAATAGTCCCAAAAGAAAACACATTTACCACTTTTACCATTACCAACATTACATATACAAACTCAGAAAACACATGTAGGTTCACTAGTCCCATATGCATTCTTTTTGGCTAGTTAATAAAATGGCTATATCTGTATTGTAGACATCGCAACATCTGGCACCTATCACCATTGTAAAGAAATTCAAGACGATACGTTTCTCTATGATGCACCATTTCAGATCAACCCACTCTGAATGACAATCTCAAAGATTGAAATATGCAGAAAATGTGAAAAACTCCCCTTTAACTATAAGTAAGATGACATCTAGTTTAGTTTTGGTTCAAAAAGATCTTGTAAAATTTATCTCTCAGGTAAACACTTGCGACTCTAACAGAAACTGTTGCTTAAAACTGAGTCAGGCTTTGTTAGCAAGAGCAAAATATATACAGTACAGTAGTATATTTCAGTTATATAACACAGACTTACTATATATACTAATATTGTTAGTGCTTTGGTACAAGTTTACAGGTTTCTTTTAAGTACGTTTTCTGATGTTTATAATACTGGCACATTTCAGTCACTTCATTATATAACAGTTTAACAGTTGTGCTCAACTCACTAGCAGAAAAGACTGCTTTGGAGTTTGAGTGTACATTCAGTTGAATGGACACAACAGCGCAGTCTTACTCAAGACGTTTTGGTCAGTTCAGTTCAGGCTCTCAGTACTATGGTGTTCCTCGGCCGGTGGCTTTTTGAACACTGTGGAGAGTTCCTGCAGAAGCAGCTCTCGAGAGGGGCTGTGCGATCTGCCCTGGCTGTGCCTGGTGGGGGACGCCTCCTTCACTAGAGTGTCCAGAGAGCCCCCGGGGGTCAGCAGGCCCTCTCCCCCGAGAGAGCGCACAGGATTTGGACCGATCATGCGGTCCAGTGAGCCGGTCTTTCTCTGGCCAAGGCTGGTGGGCCGGGACGGAACTTCTAGGGTTTCGGCGTGGGCGCTGGTCCGGAAACTTGTCTCCAGAGACTTCAGCACCTGCAGGCTGAAATCGCCCACCTCCTCGTAAAGCGGCTCAGGGCTTTCATCACGCTCCTCTACTGAGTCCTGCTGCACCTTCATGGGCTGAACACAGACAGCACAGCCAGCAAACAGGAGGTTAATGTTGATGTAAGGGTAGGCAGTATGACAAAAATACAATATCACAACACTTCAAGAGACTTTCATGAGACATGATACATACAAAAAAAATTACTATTTATATATAGTATTTTTGAGGTTTAATAAGTTGGAACAGAAAACAGTGAATCCAATTAAACAGCACCGATTATATTCTCATAGACTTCCAGCCTTATCACAATTCAAACTCATAGACAGCTACGTAATTTACGAGCCCATGTTTAATCTCTTTTTAACAAAACATTAGTGTTCATTTAACAAAAAATTAGTGTCCTTTAAATACTGACCATGACCACTATATTCTCAGAAAAGCTCATGATATAATTTATTGTGATAACATTCATATCAACTGGTACATGGATGTACACTAATCATCATTTCAGTCTTAACCTCTTGAGGTCAGAAGGTACAAAACATGGGCATGTTTAAAACATATATATAAAATATATATACAGTTCTGTAAGTACTGCTGTAAGAAAAAAAAGTAACAAAAATTCTTCTACAGAAAAAATATCTTGTGAGATAGTTTGAAGAACAAAATTTTGTTCCAGATTTCTCCTGAACATTCCCAGATTTTAATGGTATATATCAACATAAGTAAAATTACTACTTATTGTTTTAGTGTTCTTTGTATTTATTCTAATATTAGTGTTTTTTTCTGAGCAAAAAATCCTTACCGCCCCAGTAAAAAGCTTTATATTTCTAATTTTCTCAATTGCCTTGAGTAGATAATGAAGAAACTGTGTAGGTTTCAAACCACATTTTTACATTTCTAAAAGCTCAGAAATTTGTATATAGTATAAAAATATGCTTGTTCTCTCACTGAGTGAGGAGGTGGGGTTAGGGTGACTCTCTAATGGGCTACATCAAACATACTCATGGGCCAATAACTTTTACACATAGGCCACTCATTTGGCAGCCCTAATCTAATATAATCATGTGTGATCTAATGTTAATTTAATGTACTTTAATCTAATCTATTACTTTAAACTAATGCTATTCCTAAATTAATCTAATGTCAATCTTTACAACATTAATGGCAATATGTATATAAGAAGAGGTGTCTGAGGCTTTAATTCAATTCAAAATTATTTCTATATGGTTTTTACAAGAGACAAGTAATTTCCAAAAGTCCAGGTCCAAACCCCTAATGAGCAAGCCAAGCCAAGTTACAGTGGCAAGGAAAATTCTCTAAGAGCAAAGACCACTGAGAGGAACCACAACTCAAAGAGAAGAACACATCCTCCCTGCTTGACATCAGATACTAGCAGATAGCATAGTTTAAATAATCCTTAATTATTCAGTTATTTATATTAAATCTTATTCAGAAAGTGCTATAAATTATTTGGAAATGACTATGAAACTAATATGCAAGGTATGTAGTTATGAGAGTGAGCGTTTGCGGTTTAAGGTGTTAAAGGCACTGAGACCCTGTCTGATTTAACAATAAATACTTCAGGTAAGGATTTCTAAGAGATCATCTACAATTATGGGATTTTATTTGTGGTTATTTGGACATTGACAGAAGAAATTCACTGTTCATCGGCATTCAAGTGACTTCCTTCTCCCATTTTAATCTATTGTTTCAGTATCACAGTGACGATCACAGTGACAACCTCAAGATAATTGCCAAATACACTGGAGACAAAAGAAAAAAGCCTGCAAACAATTTGCTTGCAAATGCTTTAGGCTCGGGACCCACCAGAGGCTATACCATTTTCCCCGCCAAAACACAAGCACTGAGCAGAGGCCCCAGCCTGCCCTCAAGGCTATGGCCACAGAACAATGCAGTGGAACAATTCTTCCACCCTGCGCATCCTGTTGTCTTCACTTCAGACATTCAACTCAACATCCTGTCATATCAGGAAACCTCAGCTCGCAACAGGAACGGGAGGGTTTAGGAAATCAGATGGAATTCCGCAATTAAAGAGAAACTGTTTTGCAAAGATGTCCTGCATGCGCATCAACTACAACTCAAAAAGGACTCAGCATGTTCGATTCTAGTTGAGCTAACATTGTGAATATACGACGTGTAAAAAGGTTCTTCACATTAGATATCCTTACCTGAAGTATTTACAGTCCATAAAAAGATCTACATGTTACTAAGTTGATTAAGGCAGAGTAATACACATTATTAAAAATGCCTAAGCAGTTGTTATTGTGAACATATGATTACAGGAAAACTGTAATTGGTGTAGATCCTGTATGCCATGTGGAGGTTCTTTAAACTTTAAAAAAGGTTGTTCACATAAAAATGGTTCTTCATAAAACCATTGCAAAAGTGACATCTTGGCAAGTGAAATCAACTTAAATCTATATATATATATGAATACTTCTCATTTAGAGATTGCTGTAAGAATATAAAATTATAAAATTATTTATTATACTTTCTTAATCCTAGACATTTTTATTTGTTTAAAGTCTTAGTCTTATTTTATTGGCAGATTAGCATTATATGTATATATGTATATGTATTTGACCCTCCAGTTTATTTTTATTTTATATATATATATATATATATATATATATATATATATATATATATATATATATGTGTGTGTGTATATATATATATATATATATATATATATATATAGTTTTTAAACAGTTTTAAAATGGTTAAACACTTATTCATTTACTTCCTTATTTCTTATTATTTTTTACTTTAAAATAAATTTCTCATCCAATATAAGACAACTTCTCTAGATAGAATTACTTCAAAGAAGCAACAAACACCTAGAAACAGAATCTTAGAATTTTTCTACAACAATCTCATAATGAGAAATATTATCCATATCCATATTATTATATCCATATCCATAAATATTATAATCCGTCTAGATTTAAGATATTTTTACTTGCCAAGATTTTTGCCATGTGAAAGGTTCTTTAGGGCACCAAAAGCAGTTCTTATATGGCATCGCTCAAAAGAACCCCAGAACATCTTTAATGTAATAGCATTCAAACGCTGGTAAAAGTGCATGCAACCAGCAGATCAAAATCATAAGCATACTTACAAAGTACATTGAAAGTGTCCTTCTATCATGAAGCTTCCGCTGCAAACACACACAACAAAACCATGTATGAGTCTCAAATCTCCAAGACAGGATTCAATGTGTGCTGCACATGCAGAGCCAGTAGAGGGCACCAAACCTCAGTAAACAAATCAGTTTGCATTACCAGAGTTTTGTTAGCAGAGAGCATAGTGGAGTTGGTGTTGCTTTCCTCTCCTCTAATGGGCACTAGGGGCATGGTGCCAAATTTCTGCTTAGAGATATCTGAGGAGGAGTGGCGTCTCAACACAGGCGGCCGCAAGTCATCGTTCTGAGAAACCAACCAAACAATCAGAGCTCAGTAAATGGAGCTTCAGATTACCAATGAGCATTTGATATTGAAAATGATATCCAAACAAAGGATGATGTCTCATGCCTGCGCTTTTAGTAGACTGGTCATCCAATCCCAAAGCTCTGTTTCACTGGAACAACTGAGGTACCTGCCAAGGTGAGGAAAGTGATCACTACCCATTACGCAAACATACAAACTTTATCTGTAATGTATCTGCTATGAGTGAATCACCAGTTCAGTTCAGGAAACACTCACATCTGATGTTTGTCTATCATCACAGTGAAACCCCATCTGCAGTAAGGCATGTTGTTAATTAATAAGAACGTCAAACACTTTCTAACAAGTAAAATGGATTAGAAAGTTCTGTCTTACTTTGTGGGCGCTTTTAACTTCTTTCTTATACCGATGTAAATCTTCATGGTTTTCAGTAGCCACTCCTTTTCTGGTTTGTTGCTCTGTAATAATTGAAGGAAAAACACATACGGAAAAAAGCTCAGTACACTCTCATTTTGATCTTTCTGGTCTCAGAGTCCTAATATGTTGGAATGTGGAGAATCTGTTGATGAGCAGGGGACGCACTTTCTTGTCCTTCATTAAGAGTAATTTGTGGTCTTGGATTAGGAAGGCGCGCTCTTGGAATTTGGTCCCTTGCAGGAGTTTGGGCGGCTCCTCTCGGCACTTCAAAACTCCAAACTTCACAATCTCACTCTTGTAGGCTGAAATCAAAAAATACAGCCCAAAACAGAATAAATGTACATTCTAAGTGCTCAGTCAAGATTTAGCTGTACATTGATCATCACTTTGTACATCATTACTTTGTTTTTCATTGTACTGTTTTGTATTTGTTGTAAGCACAATCAGTGTCAATAATACTGTATGTAATCACCTGTAAAGATGTCTATCGCCTCTCCTCTTGGCGCCTTCTTTACCAACAGGTACGCTGAACTGGGATCAGCCATCTTACACCACTGTAGGGCTTGCTCCAGAACTTTCTCTTTTGGGTGAAGAGGCCGCTCTGTGATTAAAACATTACACATTTTTGTTTACAGTGGAGTAAAATACTAAAAGTGAACTGTAAGGCATAATACCACACTATAATAATTAATGAGCCCATATCATGGAAAACTGAATCCATATAGACAATTCTACTGAATTAGTTCAAACTGCAGTCCCACAATAAAACCTAGTTTAAAAAAAACAGTGTATTCAGACATTGGAGATTTACAAGGATTATTTACAAGGATTACCCAAGGTATTAATTGAGACAGTAATAAGCTAAATACATACAAAAAAATGTCACTTTTGAAACAGAGCGTTTTAGTTCATGGGCGGAGCCTTATTTTAGCCACACCCCTGCATTTTAGAGCAAGAAGTGAGACTGAATCCCTGTCCCTTATGGCCACAAAATTTCATTGTGTATTAATGAAAAGTATTATAATTTTGTGTGGACTGTTCAAGACTATGTTTGCTAATCATGTACTGACTAGCTTTTTTAAATTTCTACTCAAAATTAGCTAAAATTCTCACCACTGAAACATTTGGTGAGGTTTCAATAGTATTATGACTGTTTTGGCTGTTTTGCTAGCGATAAATTGGAATGTTCATTTATGTTAATAAAATAAACATAATTAAGGTCTAGGGTATTTCAAAGTAAAAGGATTTTAGTCTAAACTCAGTAGAAAGTCTGAAATGTGTTTTTAAATGTGATTTTGAACCAATTCGGTAGAATTATACATATACGGAAACTATGCTGCAAAAACAGCCCAGTTAGAATTGATAGTGTTTGTGAGGTCATACACATCACCATATTTACATATATACACCTGTTCAGCCTACAGCAGTTCTTCCCTACCCATTCACACTGAAGTAATAATCAGTGTTTCAGCCTGGACTGCTTTTTAAGAGAGGCACAATGCAGAGCAGCCAATCAGAACAATCAGAGGTAATCTGTCGTTAAGGCAACTTAACAAAAACAGCCTGTTTATTTATAGTATAGTATATATTATACAGCATATTACAGTGGAAACAGAAGTGGGAATATGGTCATGCAAACAAGAATTACGACTGATTTTGATACATAAACCAACATAAAAATTGTAAGTGGACCTCATGGAAAAAAAAAACAGGAAAAATGTAGGATATGGATCCTTTTAAGTAAGTGAACTGTAAGTTTTTGTGCAAATGCACTATACCTTATTAAATGCACTTACGTACTGTACTATATCTTACTAATATGCTATATTAAATACAAGGTATTTTATTATACCTTCATTAAGGCTTTGGTTCAGTATAGCTGTATTTGCTGTCTGATGTGAAAATGCCCTTTGCTTGAGCAGGCAGATAAAGGCCTATTTACCAAGTTCTCCATCCTCAATGACTTCAAAGGTCATCCACACATTCTCGCCAGCAGGAACGTTTCTCAGATACAGCACCTGGTTAGTCAGCTCCTCAGCGCACATAGTGGGAGAGACCTGCAGAAAGGCCGACTTAGCACAAGCCTGTACCATGTTCTGTCAGAGCAGCATCAAGTTGGCCACTTTGATAGTTCACATATGCCACCAGGTGGCTGTAACATGAAACTGCATGTTTCATTCAAAAAAGCACACCCACAAAAGCTATTTTAAAATACACCATTATGTTGTTAAAAATGGAACAGTGAAATATTTGAGAGAAAACACAGGATAAATCTAGACTTACTTTCAGAGTGATGCAGCAGTCTGGTGTTTTTTCCTCCAAATACACCTCAATAATCAGATCTCCTGCCTGGGAGAGCTGAACGCGGTAAAGGAACAGGTTTGTTAAACTAAGCCCACTTACGTTATCAACTTAGTTTTAGTAGCTTTTAGCAGTACATAATGTTACGGTACCTGTGTGTCCTTCCAGGTCGTAATGAGACTTATCTCCAGTTCAATCTGGGTTTGGTGCTCCTCATCAACCTTCAAAGTAAAGAAGAATATTGTTGCTGCTATATTAAATATTTATTTTACACTGTGTAAACATTTCTTGCTGAGTGGACCAAAAGAAATGGCCCAAATGTACTGTTAAATCATACAAAGCTGAGAATTTTCTCCCCTTCTGCTGTAAAGTTTCCAACTTCGAGCAAGGACATGTTTTTTTTTTTTACATTAGCAACAGTATAGAAATCTGAAGCAATAATTAATAATAATACATACAACTGTTTCAATGTACAACTACGTACACCACCATAAAGTAGCATGACTTGTGCTGCTACGTTTAAGCTTTTTTGTTTCAATGCAATTTATAACAGCAACACCACAAAGTTACAGGTGCAAAATGCAAAAGTTTAGGCAGTCAAATTCCATGTTGTTGATTTAAGTAAAAGAAGCACACTTCCTCTACAGAGAACACACACCTGCACATTTTATTGCACAATTGTTATTTATTTGCTGAGTTTAACATTGGGGAAAAAAATTAAATTAAAATTTGCCATGACTTTTGCACAGGCCAAATTTTAAGTCTCTTCCCTGTAGAAGACACGTGAACTTCACTTAGAAAATCAACAAAACATGTAATTTGGCCTTGGGTGTTCAAACTTTTGTTTACAACTGTATAAAAAGCACTGAAAATGCAGTGGTCAGAAGTCCTCTACTCACATCAAACACATAGAGGTAGTTGTCAATGAGATCCTCTACGATTTTCACTTCATGCTCCCCTTTCCCATCTGTCTGAAAGAGGCTAGGGGCAAACAGCAGGGACAGGTTCTTAGTGCACATTTGGTTAAGGTCAGCACACTTCTGTACCCTGAGAGAGACCAAAAGAGAAAGAGAGATGTTAACAAATCACTGTCAGAAAGAGCACAGCTTTTTTTGAAATCTTAATTGCATATTTTAACTTAGCATACCTGTACAGGTGACTGATGAGAGCTGCTAAAGTGGTCCGGTTGACCCGCGGCAAACCACGGATGAGTTCCTTATATCTATCCAACCTCTGGGTCTTATTAGATGTCTCTGCAGAGGGTGAAGAGGTGAAGAGAAATCAATAACGAAGCTCAGCAACCACTGAAATCTAATATTCTTTCATTTTTAGGCATGAGGCAAAGCCATAATAGAAGTCTAAGTATGATAAACTGCACTGACTGGCAGCCTCTTTCCAGTAGGGGTGCAGGTCAGCCATGAATATGGGGTCATCGAGCTCGCGGAAGAATCTCTTCAGCACATCTGTCACATCCTCGATGAAGTTGTCCCCGATACGCAGTTTCACATTGCGGGCATCTTTCCTGAACTCATCCATCAAAAGCTTGATTCTGGTCTTGGCTCCATTTTTTCTGTAGATCCCTTCATGGCCCAGGCCTGTGTACATAAAACAGATGGGGTTTTCAGCCGCACAGGTGTGTAACTGATGAAGTAATAGGAGTAGCTTTACTTAAGATATAGAGCAAACCGCTAAAATGTCGTGGTATACAAGAACTGAAGTTAAACATTAAAGCCATGCATTTAAAATGAATGTTCAGCAAACACTCAAATTTGGGTAATTTTCAGAGGTCAATCAGCCAGTTTTGTGCCCAAAGGTTTTTTTCTTTAGTTTTATGATGAAAAGTACTAAAAGCCCAATCTAGCTAACTGGGCTAGCTAAATGAAGGAAGCCTTAACCTCAGAAAGTAGCATCATGAAAACTGCATGCCTGAATCACAAAGTAGAGAAATAATTCAGGCATAAAGCTGGCTCCTACCACTGTTTTTACATATGCTTTTATATTTACAACATACTTTTCTCCATTATTATATGTAACAGTGCGTCATTATACATACACATATATAAAATCTTGAACACTATATAGTGAGGGGAAAGTCGAAAATAATATTTCAATAATAATGTATAAATTACATTTTCTACCAAACTATGGCTTTACCTGATCTGAACATGCACTTGATCAGCCAAAATATGTTTGATGTACACTTTCTTTGTGCTCTCACCATACTGGGTGATGAAGGCGATGCAGCTGTCCACGATGATGGGGATGTCATTCCTACTGAGCTGCTGATCCTTCAGTGTGTTGGCCTTCCCTCCCGCTGCCTTCTGGATGTCTGTGTACCAAAGAGAGAAATCCATCCGCCCCATGCCCTGCAGGTGCAGAGTCCTAAGCACACAAACAAACACTGTTTCTTTGGTCGATAGTTTGTGTTGCATCTTTTAAGCAAGCCATAAAAAGTGAAAAATTAATATTATATTCAACTCAGAATTGGATTCTACTATCTCTTACAGAAAAGACACATTTGAAGAGTGCAAAAACCTGGATAAATCAGTGCCATGAGAGTGTTTACACATATTTTGTGTCCAAACATAAAAACTCACCTTCCTTTCTCAACTAGAACCAAAATGTCCCTCTTTTCGTGGTTTTCTGTCTCAGATGCTATACCTTTAACAAATAAAACAGTGAAAGTCAGCCCACATACAAGACACGAGCCTGAAAAACAAAGCCTTTTGGAAACGTAGCTTTGTAGCAATTTGACACACCCTCATAGCTAAAGTGCAGTGGGATTTTGAGACTTACTCAGCTCCTGCAGGCGTTTCAGATTGATGATGTCCTCTGCGGCCCCATCGTTTCCGGGGCAGATGAAGAGGTTGGACTTCTGAAGGACAAAGAAGCCCTCTTTCCACTGCTGCGGGTCCAGCATGGCCTTATAGCGCAGCATGCCCACCCGCTCAAACTCTCGCGCCAGTAAGCAGTGGCAGCTCAGAGGAGTTGTGGCCTGAGGGACAGCAGCATAGCAACTAGTTCTTCAAACATGCTCAAGCAACAACTACGTGAAAAATCAAATTTACACTTCAAATGTAGTTGATCGACCAAGACAAGTTTTGTACCGGAGCTACAAGGCCAACGTAGCTAACAAGAAATGAAGGCTTTCAACCACCAATTAGTATCATGCCATCTGCATGCCTAAATCATCATACATTTTAATTAATTACCTAGGATGTAATTCAAATTACCTAGCATTTTTAAATTCTATAAACTATAAAAAAAATTAAAAAACAAAAATGGGGAGACAATGTTTAGTTCTGATAGCAACAATTAGTATATGTATACTATATGTAAACATATGTACTTTTGTCCATTTTTATAAATAATACTATGTCATACAGTGTTAGAAACTAGATACGTAAGTCTATTTGAGATTACCTAACAATTCCACATGGTTTGAGGCAAGCATGTGACAATTTAGACATGCAGTCTGCACAACGATAGCAGGCGCCTACAAGTTTTTACTAATTAGTTGCATTGCATTCTACTAACTAATTACATTAGCCTCATAGCTCCTGTCCCAAAGTGAAGAGTAAACTTCAGACAAGCTATACCTGATAAGGCTAATATAGTCAAGATATAGCTATTCATATAGGATGATCAACTACATTTGGGGTGAGGGGAGATAGTGTACATTAAATCTTTCAGCTACATCATCCCTTTAAGGTCATATACAGAGTCTCATTTTTACCTTTCCAATAGCTTTTACCCAACTGTGCAGTGCATCTGGAGTCTCTAGGCCAAACTGAATAAGCTTTTCAGATGTTAGGTAGAGTTCAAAAGTGTATCGAAACCTAAGAACATTTTAAAAAAAAGAACAAAAAGAAAAAACAATTTAAAATCCATTCACATTAGATATGATGCGTAAATGTACAGTAAAGCTGTGGTGTAAAGTGGTGTACCTGTCAATAAAGCCATTGTTATTGTTGCATGAGTCTGGCCTGCTAACTCCTAAACAGATGATGTCTTTGAGATCAATCTTCATGTTGGGTTCATGGCACCTGTCAGACTCATAAAACAAAAGGGACTTCTCCACAGAGCACCAGTATTTTTGAAAATCTGAAAAAAAAGAAAAACCTTCTATGACTACCTGTGTTTAAACTTTTGATCATTACTGTACATATCGGTGAAGTGGGCCTTGAAAGGCTCTTTATTCCACTGCCTTCTGAAGAACATTCTGCTCCTAAACTCCTGCCAAGGGCTGTGTTTGCCACATTGTCGCCTACCTTCTCTGGTTCGCCGGGATAAAGTGCCTTTGTTAATGGAGCCTGACTTGTAGAGGTAGCCTGAATACAGAACCGGCTGCATGATTTCATCATACACACTGGAATCTGCAACAAAACATAGCAGAATGTAGCAAGACATATTTCCACCACTAAATACACTGCAAAAAAAGGATTTTTGCTGTCAAAGTACTGTAAAATTAGACCCATTAAAAAAAAAAAAAATTAAATGCATGTAAGTAAACCATACATATGCTGTATTTTAACATTGCTGTTAATTTACAAAAATATAATATAAATTCACAAAAACAAATTATCACCCTTATTTAACATATATTTGCATTTGTTTAAAAGGGTGTTACTGTTATTATTATGGTAAAATACTGCATGTTAGAATAACTAGTTGGACTAGTGATTTATATTTTTTTATATTTAAAAATTAAGCTCTAATACTTAATAGTACTTTATAGTTCTAATACTACTTAAACAGCACTTTGCAGACTGTTATGATTGTCAGTTCTCAACTGTGATCTCTTGAATATGATTGTCAGATTCATTAAACTCAAATAAACAGCAGAAACTCATAAAATCCTAAATATAATAAATATACAGGCATGTTCGTTATAACATAAAACAAACAAACTGTTATATTGGGATATATTATTCAAGGCCCTAGAAAATATTATATGAACTCCCTACTAGGGCTAAACGATTTGGGGGAAACTTTTAATTGTGATTTTTGTGACAAGCATGTCCAATTTTACAAGCTCGAGTGCTAAACATAGTGTGCCAGACAGCTCTGGTTGTGTTGTCATCCACACATCATGTGGGTGTTTTGTGGCTTCTGTTTGTTCTAACTCCTTTACAGACAATTCACAAGCTCTGTGCTATTACATAAACAAAATTGTCACTTGAAACTTCAATTTTGATATTCAAGCAATTAATCTTTCAGCCCTACTGCCTATGTTACCCTTCACCGTGTGCTTGCAGATTATGTTTTAGTTACATTCAGTTGTACAAATTGATTCATTCAAGGCTTTTATGGTGCAATCTAGAAAAGCAACACTTCTAATGTGGTGGATGACAATTGCGGTGTAGTGGTCAGTGACTGGACTGTGAGGAGTGGAAGTGGTTGAGTGGGTGGTGCATTGTGAATGTTTGAGAAAGCAAAGAATGTTAAGCTCTGAGCACCTGAAGCCTGCATGTAGGAGTAATGCATGGACAGGTGCTTCTCATGGCCATTAGAGTCGGAGAGACGAGCTGCTTCCGCCTCAGCGAAAATCTGCGTGACCGTCTTGAGGAGGTTCTGTTCAGTCACTGCCGTGCACAGTGCCTGCAGGATCACACACACTCAGTCAAATGCATCACTAAAAGCACATTCAGCCACAGGACATCCAAAGCCCAGTCCTCCAAAAATTCTTTTATTCAGTACTGTCCTATTATTAGTGGTCTTATTTCACAATTCAGAGCGCATCTGTCCTCTTATGCTGGAAAGACACGTCAGACTATTAGGTTATGGTAACAACTATGGCAAAACACTGAAAAAAACATAATGCATGTCAAGCAATGACCATGGTACTTGGTCATGCTATTTTAAGCAACTCACTGTGGACTGAGGTTTTCTTTAGTAATAAAGACAGAGAGGAACACGCGCTCTGAAGCAAAACAATGGCTAAAGACAGATCTTATAGATAGACTTTGCTTAATGAACTGTCTTTGAACCATCTTTGCTTCAAAAATAAGTTTTTCAAGTTCAGTGGCATTGTATAAATTAATCATTTGTTTTGTTCTGTGTACATAACTCACCTTAAGTAACTCTTCCTGTGTGCTGAAGCTGGGGTGAGGGTAGCGATAGCGTCCTTCTCTGTACTTCTGGCTGATAAACTCTCTTCGCTGTTCTGGGGAAGCATCACAGTCCAGTTCCTCAGTTACTGGCAGCCTAGCAGCCCAGAACTCATTGGCTCTGTCATTACCCAGCATTATGAAAAGCTGAAACATATAAACACACAAACAACAACAACAATGTATACTACTATACTATTTTACTATATTATAGTGTGATTTTACTCAGACCTCTTTGACACAAGTAGAGAAAATTCTGTGAAAAGTGTGTATTTAAAACTTGTATATCTGTGAAGGCACTTTAAATGCTAAAAGCTATATGGACCATTCTCCCAATAAGTTCAAACTGCAGTTAATTAAAAAACAATTAAGTCTACAGACCTTAGATGTTTACATGGTTTATTGTATGATCTCTTCAAACCCAAGGCATTCACTGAGATAGTAATAAGCTATATATATATATATATATATATAATATATATATATATACAAAATAACTCAAAGTTACTTTCTATACCAAGGTGGCTGTCCCAAACCCTAAAAATAATACGTCTATATTTTGTTCTTTTAAAATTAAGATTTAAAGATATCATAAGCTTAAACTAAATTAAAAAACTCAAAAAATGCTGTCCCCCATTTTCATGTCACTACCGAAACACAAAACAGTTTCAGTCCATAGGCAGAACCTTATTTCAGACACAACCCTGCATTTAAGAGGGGGTGACACTGCATCCCTGTCCCTCTTGGCCACATGGTGAGCAGTTAGATCTTATTGTTTTAAAGTAAATGTATCTCAAAGTCTAAAAATCAGTGTGTAACACTCAAGAATTGTCACTACTGAAACACATACAGTGCTGTGATAAAGAATGTGCCCTGACTCGATTTCTTCTATTCTCTTCTATTTCACATTTGAATGTTTCAGATCATCCAACTAATTTTAATATAAAATAAAGGCAACACAACTAATTACAAAATGCAGCTTTTAAATGAGCATTCCATTTACTAGAGATAAAGATTTATTTAAAACCTATATCACCCATGTAACAACATAATTGGCTCCTAAACCTAATAACTGGTTGTGCCACTCTTGGCAGTAGCAACTGTAATCAAATGTTTGCGATAGCTTGCGATGAGTCTTTTACATTGCTGTGGAGGAAATCTGGCCCACTCTGTTTTGCAGAATTGTTTTAACTTGGCTACAGTGGAGGGTTTTCGAGCATGAACTACCCGTTTAAGGTCTTGCCACAGCATCTCAAAGAGATTCAAGTCAGGCATTCCAAAACCTTTTTTTTGTTTCTTTTGAGGCATTCAGAAATGGACTTGCGAGTGTGCTTTGGATCATTATCCTGCTGCAAAACCCGACAGCTCCAGACCATCGCACTACCACCACCATGTTTGACTATAGGTATGATGTTCTTATGGTGTAATACAGTGTTACCTTTACACCAGATGTAATGGGACCCATGTCTACCTAAAAGTTTCACCTTTGATTCATTAGTCCACATAACATTATCCCAAAAGTCTTGGGGGTCATCTAGGTTTTTTTTGGCAAATGCGAGACAAGCTTTTGTGATCTTTTTGGTCAGCAGTGGTTGGTGCATTGCAACTCTCCCGTGGATGCAATTTTTGCCCAGTGTCTTTTTTATTGTGGAATTGTGTACATTGACCTTAACTGAGGCAAGTGAGGCCTGCAGTTCTTTAGATGTTCGTCTGGGTTCTTTTGTGATCTACTAAATGAGTTGTCAATGCGCTCTCAGTGAAATTTTGGTAGGGCGGCCATTCCTGGGAAGGTTCACCACTGTTCCAAGTTTTTTCCTTCTGTGGATAATGGCTCTCAATGTGGTTCACTGGAGTCCCAGAGCCTTAGCAATGGCTTTGTAATACTTTCCAGACAGGTAGATTTCAATGACTTGTTTCGCATCTGTATTTTAAATCTTTTTAGAATGTGGCATCATGTGCTGCCTTTGAGATCTTCTAGCCTGCTTCACATTGCCAGACAAGTTCTATTTAAGTGTCTGAGTGTGGCTAGTGAAATTAAACCCAACAGTCAATTGCATTTGGTTAACTGTTTGATTTAGTAGCTAAGGTGGAAATTACTTTTTGACATAGGGCCATGTAGGGTGGAGTGCAGTTTTTCTTCAATCAAATAAATCATTATTTAAAAACAGCATTTTGTGTTTACTTGGGTTATCATTGTCTAGGATTAAAAGTAGTCTGATGATCTGAAACATTCAAGTGTGACAAATACGCAAAAAACAGAAGGAATTGGGAAGGGGGCAAATACTTTTGACAGCTCTGTATTTTCTGCATTTAAGTAAACTTTTGTGCACTTTAATAAAAATATTGTGATTTTAGGTGTGTACAGCTGTTCAAAACTGTCTGCTACTCCAGTACTGACTAGCATTTTTGAGCTGTGCTTTGTCATTACCGAACAGCCACTAGTACTTAAACATTTGGTGAAGTTAGCCAGTAGTGTTATGATTGTTTTGTTATTCATTCAAAGCAAAAGTATTTTACTCTGAAGTCCCAATCAGTTTCAAGTCTGAAATGTGTTTTCAACTCTAACTTTTACCCAATTCGGTCAAATGATCCATATACACGTTTTGAAGCAACATAAGCTGCTTTATGGAACGGTGATGTAACACAGTGGTAAACATGCTCATATCCAAACTTTTTGAGTGTACATTTACAACCAAAAAGATTATAGTTCACAAAGTAACATAGAGTGACTAGATTTTACATAAAGTTCATAGAGTAACATATGAAATTTACTGATCACTGCTTTGTATTTTGTTAGCATTTCACATCCTGTCCCACCTTTTTGAAACTGACGTTCGTAATAATATTTTAAAAATATAGCAAAGTGATAATTATAAGTCTAAACTTCTAAGGGGTAGTGAATAAATGCTTAGCTCTCACTTCTTTTACAGTTAACTAAAAATGAATGAATTTATTAAAATTGGGATGGGCATATATTGTCTTCTAGTATTAGTAACAGTGAGCATAACCCTGGATGTGTTTTGTTAGAAGTCAGTGTCATTTAACAAAAAAAAATCAGAAAGTCGTAGAAACTTCCTACAGAGGGAAAATGCAAGGAGCTTCAAAGGCAAAGGCCCATGTCATGACCCGTCTCTGCCGCCCACAACCCCCACCTGAACGATCTCGTTGCTCCAAACGCTGGTGTCCAGTTTCAGACTCTGCACTTTGGACACCATTGTGCCCAAGCTTCTGTGCTGGCCTGCGGGAAGACAGAACAAAAGAGCCATCACACCACTCGCCACGCTCCATTCACTCTCTTTGGCCTGGAATGGCTTCCCAAGATGCTGCCTCCAAGCCACTTCTTATCTTTAGTGATGGGCACACAGGAGTCGCTCGGGTAAGGGTTCAAAGCTCTCTTAACTACTGCCATATTTCCAACCCAACGCACTAGCTATATGTATACAATGCAAAATAATTCAAACAATTTTCCTTTTGCATATAACCCAGCAGTTCCACTGAATAAAAACTATATTTAGCATTTTATAAAACAACAGAGCTCTTAAAACAAAGGTTTGGGTTCGTTGGAGTGATGCCTTAGAAGTATCATAATTTGTTCTCTAAAGAACCTTTCAATACATGTTCTTTTAAATAAGCCTAAAACTAGCATGTAATTTGTTATTGTCATATAAGATGATATTCTGTAGCACAGTATTGCATCCTTCAGCCTCATCAGTTTAACATGATTCACAATTTTGTGTGCTTTTTGCATTTTGATCCATCATTGTTCTCTTACTACAATACTTGTTGTGCACTGTGAATGTACATCAACCATTAGCAATCCCTCCTGCAAAACAAGAGAATGCACTGATGTAGAGGCTAATCAATATAGATGTGATGTTCAGTTTCTTAGCTGTAACATTAGCCATCTGGCTTTCTTCTGAATTAGCAAGCCAGTGGAAAAAACACCTTCATTTGTTTGTTTGTTTGTTTGTATGTGGCTGTAGTCCTTCAAAAAGTTCCCCCCACCTTCAAGATACATCATCTGAAGGGGGGGTTTCCTAGTCTTTCAAAGAAAATCTCATTTCAGAGACTGCCACGGCAACACTGTAGGAGGAGAGTAGGCTAGTTCAAAAAAGATGCTGCAATGATTAATTTTTCATTTTGGCAAGAGTTCCCCTTTAAGGGAACAATTTTCTATGCTATCTCTGGCATCACCCCAACCTAATCTATATCTGCCACATCCGTTGCATCCGGCTGATTACCACAGGCAATAATTTACTTTCTCTGTACTCACAAAAAAAAACAGAAAACCTATTGACTACACACTGGCTTCTATTATAAGTGTTTTTGGAGTCAGTGTGTCTTCTGTTTTCTGTACACATAAAAAGCACAGAAATTACAGTCTGAGGTAAGAATATTCCTTTAAATAGCCATCTACTGAAAAGTTCATTAGGAAACATAAGGTGGTTTGTCTATAGCCATACTCCAATAAGCCCTTGTGGCACTTTTGAGAGTCTAAACCTAAACTAATAGGATTTTTGATTGTGCATCACCACTGACACTGCAAGATTGGCCTTTATCCATGTCTGGAGAGCCATTCCTGTAAGATCCATCAGATTGATAAAAACACTTGGGCTGTAGAAGTATCCCACCAGCTCTCCCATACCTGCACAGTTCTTGCAGATGACCACGCAGAGATTGATGGAGGCCCAATCAGGATTGATGGCTTTGCAGTCAGCGCAGACCTTGTTGGAGCGGTTGGACCAGATCTTCTCGGCCACCTCGTAATCAGAGAGCGTCTCTGCAATGGACTCCTGCAAAGCCTCCATCCACTCACGCTTCTCTCGCTCTGACTCAGCCGTGAAGCTGCAGAGAGAGGAGGTCAGCTATTCAGATACTGCAAAACTAGTTCACTTCCTAGAGCTTATTTGCTTTCCTTTCTGCAGGAGGCATTTAGCTGAAATGCTCTTCTTCACAGTTTCACAATTTTCTTCTCTGCCCTGCAAGTCAGTAAAATAATACATTGTGGAAATGAGTATGTCTACTACAATATCTATTTAATCTGGGTTTTCATAAATTAGCTACACCAGCTTTATAATGCAACATAAGGTCCAGAATTATACAACAGATTATTAAATCTGCTACATTTTCTTCTATTCTGTTTTTTCCACTGGGTTCAGTTTTCACAGTCACAATTCTTTTTTACATGGCCATTTCCAACTAAAGTGGTGTAGGTGGATATATGCAAGTGCGTTGGTTTTTGCAACTGCCTAAGACAAAAAAGGATAAGACAAAGGATTCAATGTGGGGTTTTTTTGCAGCTTCCCTGTGTGATATATATAACTGTGTTGACTGGGGAATGAATCCAATGTTTTGAAACTTTAGTGTTTACACACTACACCTTACTCTGTTATTTTAAAAAACTGTTTTCTGCAATATGGGCCCTTTAAACAGATCCATTCTAGTTCTAAAATCTGATTGGCTGACCCATCTTCTAAGCCAATAGTCACCAGCACTGGTCCTGGAGATCTACTTTCCAGCAAAGTCTAGTTTCAACCACAATCTGCCACACCTGCACAAGCTAGTTAACTTCTTCAGAAGTCCTTGATTGGCATATTTGGCCACACAGATCAGGTAAATTCAGTATTAAAAAACACTGTGCTGTTCATGGAACAATCTCTGACCATTACGTTGCTTGGCAACCATACTGCCTAGCGCAGAGATCTTTAAGTCCAGAACTTGAATCCAGTTTCCAGGTAGGCCAGTTACATCAACAAGTAAGTTAAATATCAGTAATTACAAAATCCAGGACTGGAATCTGGATTCAAGGTCTGGATTTATAGAACTCTGGCTTAGTGCAAGAATGGTATATTGTGCTTATTATTAAATCATATTAATGACTTGATTATTAATCAAATTGATTTTGCCTACCAATACTGCATAACATCTTAGATGGTATTGTATCATGTAATGCACGGCACATTGTTTATTGGTTTAAAATAGAATTTTCTAGACTTCATAATCGCTGTCCATGCAAAAATAAATGAGGGTTCAAAAATGTATAAGTGAGCATAACTGCACACATAACATAACAGTAAGCATTTACCTGAATGTCTTGTAGGGGGTTATTAGGTCAAAGCTTTTGCCCTTGCCATCTCGGATTGTCGCACCTCTGGCCTCTATTACACTGATTCCAATTCCAGTCTTAAAACACTACAAAAAGCCACACAGAGTGTAAGAAAAACACTTTAAACATTTAGAATGCTGGTACTCTTATGTCAGATTTCCAGTATATACTTCACCTACCACATCATTGAGAAATTAGGCTACCAAGACGCGGAAATTTTGCAATGGCCTAGAACACTTTGAGGAAGGAAGAGTGTATACAACAACAGAAGAGAATGCTGTGCCTGGGTGCATTTCCTGGACAGTTGTGTAAGCCTTACTGCTGTGCTGTATGAGTGGTGAACACCAAATCACCTGCTCGCTCTTGTACAGCCAAATCTGTTCTGTTATAATGGCGGTGTAGATCTTTGACTTGGTCCCTTTGAGCTCTAAGAAGCCGCTTTTCTGGCAGTGGCTGCCCGGACCAAAGCGTGGCCTGCCAAACACCATCTGCTCCTTCACTCGCTCCTGCAGCACACTGCACCATTTGCTCCGCTGTACTGTGGTGAGCAATGACATGGGCAAATTCAAAGAGTCCAACCAAACAGAAAAAAAAGAAAAGATTCAAATCCAAGCCTTCTGCACAGAAGAATACGATGCACTAAATTTACTTTTTAGATTTCCACATAAATAAAATAAATCAATACTGTACTGTGCAAAAGTCAAAGACCACCCTTCATTTATTTAATTTCCAGACAAACCTGCCACTTCATTTTTTATTATTTACTTTTTTGAGCATCAAGAAACAAAGAAACATATTCATGAGAAAAAAGAGGCCTTAACAACTGAATATAATATACATTTTTTCCAGTATGTAGTGGGTCAACCATTTGCCTTTATTACAGCTTGCATTCTTTTCAAGAGACTTGCTTTCAGTTTTTTCAAAGAAATCTGCACAGATATTTTTCATACCTCCAAGGTTCAGTCTTAGAAGTTGCATTTTCTGCTTCTCATCACTGAAGTAATCAGTGAAGATATTCAGTAATGTCTGGACTCTGGGATGGCCAGTCCATTGTTCTAAGAACATCAGCACCTTCATTGTTTAATCTGAAAATGTTTTTTGCTTATTTCCTTTCTCAGTGAGGGCTTTTTGACGGCTACACATCCTTTCAGACCCACTGTGTTGAGTTGTCTTCTCACAGTGGGATTTTTTTCATAAAAAAAATATTTTAAAAAAAAGTATTTTTTATCTGATGGTGACAGTTTTGGTGGAGTCCCATTTAATCTATATCCTTCAATATTTTTTTCACTTCATTTCATTTGACTTTCCCCTTGCTATGCTCATCTTGTATTTAATCACCTATTTCATGAAAAATGAATAACTTGTACTGAATCGATGTTTTGACTGGAAATCAAATTAATGAGGGGTGATGTTTGACTTGCACAGTAGTGTATATTACTGTTGATGTACATGTAATTCAACACAATAATTGTGAAAAGTAAGTAAACCGAAGGACAAAATAATGTTAAAATTGTATTTGTGTATTTATACATTAATATAAATTAGTTTAATGTGCTTACATGTTATATATTTAATATTCATACCATAAATTACATATATTTTATATATTTTATTAATGAGGACAAATGATGTACACATTTCACAAATTCACTGCATTCCTTTTTTCAGTGTGATATTGGTTTCTAAAGTGGCTTTGACTGTGGAGGCCAGAATAATTGGCACAGAAAAATAATTAAATAATCATTTTAATTTTAAGATGGCACTGCAGAGGTGACACAGCATTGGTGCTCTCTGTCATTAGTGCTACAGGCCTCCAACAGGACCATGGAGAAGGAATTTTCTGTTTTGTATAAACCATGGCCCCCCAGTTCCAGTCGTGGAGGGCCAGGATCCAAGCACATTTTGGTAATTTCCCTGCTTGAACACATCTACTAAACATTAAAACTGGAAACCACCAAACCGTGCTGAACTAAGGCCTTCGAGGACGGAAGGTGCCCATGGTATATACTGAGATTACCACTACTTATCACTGGAATGGAGTTCAGCTTTGAGAGGACTGTGTTTACCTTCATTGTCAGCACGAAAGACAAATGTCCGATGGCTTGTCACTACTTCAAACTTGTTGTCTTTAGCTACACGAGCCATCTGTATAGCGGCCAGAGGAATCACACCTTTTGGGTACATGTCCTAAGAAAGAGAGATAGTGAGAAAGGCCATTTGTGTGAGGAATTAGAACATTGCAACCTTTCAACTTGCTAAAAACATAGTGCTATGTTATGCTGGTTTGTTTGTTTGTTTTCTGACGACAAATTGATAGGTAACAGTTCTCACTCATTTAGTTATGCTATCAAGCCACAGATTAAAACTAATCCTAAACTACAAAAGGTTTCAAATGAAAATCCACATTGACAGTGCAAATAAAGTAAGCTTAATGAACCTAAAACCTGTTTCACAGTGTAATGCAATCATGGCTACTGTTATCTCCTCATACCTTTTCACTGCCATAGTACATCAGGTTTTTTCCATCAAACTTTATATAGCGCTTCTGGAACACATAATTCCTAAAACAGACAAACAAAGATATCAGCTGTGGCCTGGCAAAGAGAACAAAGATATCCACTAAAACAACAGCTTACTTTAAACCATCTCATTGTAAAATACACAACAATTCAACAAGGTCAAATTAGAAGACAGACTCTTACAGAAAAGTCACATTTATTTGTCATGTGAGGTGTGCAAAAATCACGTGTTAACAAGTAATCACACCTTTTTTTTCATGTGGTAACACATTCTGAACATGTGTAGTGTGCTAAAACCATGTGTCAAATGTGAAATTTGCATGACTTTTTTGTAAGGGATACAAAAAAGAGTTGATGCACAAAGGAAGAAGAAAGAAGGCTTTTATCTAAGATAAACAGAAAAGGTAAGGAGATGTAGACACACCGGCAGGAAAGTACGGACAGGAGGCAGAGACAGGCCTTGAGAAGGGAGGAAATGCAGAGACAGGATGAGAGTAGTAGGCCTGATAGGCCATACCCTTGAGGGGAGAGCTTGTCCAGCCAGCCACTGATGATAGGCGCAGCCCGCTCAGACAGTGAGGTGTAGCTGGCATAAGGGGAGATGGTTTGATCCTCATCCAGTTCACTGGGGAACAGGGTGCGGGGAGGCAGTGAGAAGGAGCGTGAGGCAGACGAGGGATCACCCACTGTGCAGTAGCCTGGAGAGTCGCCAGAAGAAGTGTGTGAATGACGCTTGAGACTGGACCTGAAGAGGCAGCAACAACAGGCAGACAGATTTAACATTACAGGGTGGTTGTAGGTCAGCATCCAGTGCAATTGACCTACACATGCTCCACCAATGAACGTGTCCTTTTGTAACTACTGATGCAAAGTTGGACAAGCTATACAGAGCAAAAATCCAATTCAACATAATGAGAAATCAAAGTGAACAACTAATTTTGGTTAAAAATAAACACATTTACATATAAACTCACTATCTGTCCAAAAGTATCCAGACAGTCCTAATTAGTGAATTTAGAAGTTGTGGGGTGCACCCATTGCTGAAACAAGCATTCAATTGTGCACAAAAAGCATGAGCCTAAGGTCACCATGCCCAACGGCAAACGTCAGAGAAGTATAAAGCCCCCAATACTGAGCTGTGGAACAGTGGAACCTTGTGCTCTGGAGTGATGGAGCTCCATCTAATACCTTTGGGATGAGTTAGAGTGGCATTTATGATCCAGAACTAATCATAAAACATAAATACCTCACTAATGCACTTCTGTGGCTGAAAGTACTGTAAGCTAGACATCAGATGGTATTTTAACCCCTTTTCATAGTAGCCATTAAACTTGTTTAGGAGGTCCTTCATTTCAACCATGCAGCACTGATGGGACATATGTTTAGATGCAAATGATTTACAAAACCTGAAGCGAACTGGACTTTGGTCTTGTAGGTCAGCAAGCAAGTCAACTTATATGAAAGTGTTTTTGTTGTGTGTTTAAATGATTTCTTTTTATTATTGAAGATGTACAGTGTTTTAATATAAAGAAAGCTGCTGCGGTGCTGTCGGTTTTATCTCAGCAGCTCCTCTTTCATTCCTCATTCCTCTTTCATTCCTCATTGTTCGCTAGCAGCTCAGTACAGTCACAATATTCCACCCTCAGAAAGCAAACAGTGTTAGCTAATGTGATTACAGAGTTACAGAGAAAAAAACAATATTTTGAGAATATTAAATGAAAATATTTCAGTCAATTTTGCCTACTAGGGGGCCTGCAGAGAGAGGCTAGAATATTTTATTTAATAATTCAATTTTTAGGAACAACAAGACGTTAGTAAATTAAAAAAAAAAATATATATATATTGTAATTATCTATTCATTGTAATTCATTGATATGTTATCTACCTTGGGACTTAATCACCACTATTCACATACAAGATATTGCGGATGTTAAATTAATTAAACCTTCAATCTCAGTGTTATACTGCTTTACCAATCATGTTGGAATAATCTATAGATCATTCTAGACACATCTAACATTTCTTCAATTTTCATATCTTTCTACAAATTAGCTGAAACCAAAAAGTTGTAGGGCAGAAGCATTATATTAAAATCATTTTATATATGTATCTGCAACAAAATAGGTTTTGCATTATTGAAAACTGTGATTGCAAACTTTTGAACAGTAGTGTATGACATAGAAAATGTCTGCAAATCTATTAGAGTAACTTCCACCACGCTACAGTAGCAAGTGATGTAGACATAAGTGATACTTAGCTAGTGTGTCCTGAGTGTGACCTTTCACATGCATACAAAATAAATATATTTTTTTAATTTAATAACATACTAAATTTACATATTTAGATAAAAAAAACTGACTTGTATATTTCTCATAATGCTGAATGGGATTTTTGCCAGTGTTCTGTTAAGCTTGTTCTTGTAACATTTGCATGCATAAGTCAACTGGGAACATTTCACTACATGAGATGAATTTTTTTAGCTTTTAAATGTGGCTTGATACATCTGTTTTTCATGCTGGCTTCAAAACAGTATTTACCCATGATCCTCTCCTGGCTTATCCTCTTTAGTTCCAACCTTTTCTCCACCCTTGGGCCTTTCAACCTTAGCAAAATAAAACACAGAAAAAGTAAATTAGCTTCTTCAAATGGTTTTCAGCAGGACCATTTCCTTTCATTTATCATCTACTTGTCTCCTACACCCACCTCAGGATGTTGATATTGTCGCTTGCTTTGGAAAACAGTTTCACAGTATGGACTGATAAGTTCATCTTGCTCGTCTGCAGGCGCTATTTTAGACAAAAATGATATTAATGAACGTTGAACATAAAACAGAGAGAAAACTGAAAGCGCTTATGATACATTAACTAGGGTAAATCTAATGAACCTACCAAATGTCCGTTTAGGTGGTTCTGGTGAGATGTGGTTTAAAGTGCTGTAGACATACAAATCTGGAGGTTAGAAGTTGAACCCTGAGGATAACTGCATTGGGTTAATACCAAATCATTGACTGTAATGTTAATTCTGTGGTAAGCTTACCTATTGCTTTCAGTAGATGTGTTGAGCTCTTGTCGTGGGGGAGGAATGGGTACAGAGCGGCTCCAAAGAGTGGGTGGAGTGCTAGGTAAAGTGCCACAGTAGATTTCATTGGAGATCATTTCCAGGCCTGAGCATGGAGGGCTAGGAGGAGATCCGGGTGTACTGGTGAAAGGAGAACACTGATAACTGGAAGGGGAATCAGGCGAGGAGGACAGGGGAGGGGTGCGTAGCTGATCCTGATCAGACATTCTTCTGAAGTTAAAAGGGGGAACCCCTCGGTTGAACCTTGGGGGTACTGGAGGTAGTGGTCCGCTAGTCTCTGGGGCTGAGATATTGCTAGTCAACTTGCCTCCACACAAGTTCCGTCTTGGGCCTACAGACCCAGGGATGGGTTCCTCAGTGGGAGAAACCTCCAGTACTACAGGACTCTGAGAATCCTGAGAGGAGCTCCGGCAGATCTGTGCTGCTTGTCGTGTGGGTGGAGAAGGCTGCTGCACCCTTTGTTTGTTGAATACAGTTCTAGGTTTAGGAACTGGCTTCACAACGGCAGAGCTACGCTCTGAGTGTGAACGTTTCACAAGGGCAGACAGATTCGGAGTTGAGCTGTTTCGCATGACTTCAAAGGTCGTGTCTACATTGCCTTGAGGAGAAAGAGGCGCTAACTCGTCAGGCGTCACCTCGTGAATGGCTGACTCTGAGTTACAGCGGTCCAACAGGGAGTCCTTCCTTTGATGCTGGCAGATCAGCTGAATGTGCTCGACCAGTTTGAGGATCCGCTTCCTGTGGCCGGTGGCGGTCACGCCAAGCCTGTTCAGAGCTGTATTGTCAACATGACAGAAGTCCCGGGCCAGTAGAAAGCCTGCCTGTCTGAAGTCGTCCAGATACCGCTCAAGGTGAATGGAAGCCAACAAGTCCTCTGCATCTGAGCCCGGATCAATTGTTGCCATAGTGTACATGGGCTATGGGATTAGCCTGCATGTAAAGCAGCTGTAACACTGGCCAAGAGAGGAGGAGGCCAGTCCCTCATCTAAGAAAGGAAGCAAAGACAATGCATCAGTGCTTGTATGTCTTTCCCATTGCCTAGCATTATTTTTGTAGCAATGTATGTATGAAGATCTTAATACTAATATGCTTTTACTTATTTGTAGCATAAAAGCATATGTGGTTAATTCTTAACAAATGAGTGGCGGATAGGCGCGGCTGAGAGTTAATGGCCTTTCATGACAGACTGCTTTTTTTCAGCAGACTGAAATGTGCATCATTCTGGCATTTCCAGATGAGGCCCTGACCCTTCTTCCAACCACTTAAAACCACTGCTTTAGAACAAAGACTGATGTCATTGATCAAACAAAGGCACATCTTTGTTCCATTTAACCAGCCATTCCATATTGAACATGTGGGAACACAACACAAATGCAAACCTAGAAAAGTAGTGAATCACAAAAAGACCACATATGCATATCAAGTGACATCACAGCATTTCATTGCTTATCTATTTTTAGGAAAGTCCCTTTATAGAAACAGGACTGTTGGAAAATCATTCAAGGAAAATCATGAGGCACTGGGGCATTTGAGAGAAACATTAACTATACTGGGGGCTATCCAGGAAGAGGCTTTACATGGGCGGGAAAAGGCTACTTGGCGGGGAGGGCATGACTCTGTGAGCCCCCTGTGCGGACACTTCCTGCAAAATGTTCGGAATGTGCTTGGCCATAGGAGAGATACTTTCCTGGCTTCTGTGTCCCAAAGGTTGACAGTGCTTGAGAACACAGCCCTAAGGAGAATCTCAAGGCTGTACGAGTGGACCGCTGCCAAGCCCGACCAAGGGGAGGAACAGAGAGCAGCTATATTCTATCCTAGCCAAGAGGTGGAGTCTCCAGCAACCCTCAAACTCTCTCTAATCAAAGGGTGGAGGCCTCCCCTCAGATGTGTCACACTACAGACAAAGGATTTACAAGGCTCGGTGTGCATCCCAAATGAGCGGTTCGACTTCAATAAGCCCACACAAGCCAGAACAAACAGCAGAGTTTCACTCTTACACATCCATAAATAATAGGATCAAGGGTACCAGACTCCACATTTGGCACCATGTCTAAAACATGATATCACTCTTGTGTTTTTCTTCAACATAGATATTTTAGGACAAAAGATAAAGCAGCAGAACAAACTTTATGCCATACATATTGTAAGCTAGTCAGTGCAGTAGCTTATAGTCAACGTCAGTGCCATCACCCAGTGCTGAGGGTGAGCGAGAAAGCAGACCCTAGGTGGCCGTTGAAAAGGGCCATGAGTCATATCCTAGATTTCCTTTGTCTGCACTCTGGACGCTAACCTTTGGCTCCCGCTCACTGATACACCGGATTCTACGCAGGGCAGGGAGGCAGGAAGCTCATGAAGCAGGCAGATAAAGTCTGACCTGGGGAAAGCCACTGGCCGGGTGTTGTCTTTTTCTGTCTTACTAGCAATGCACAAATCTCCCTTCAACAGCAAGGCTGTCATCACAGGGCTAAATCAGTCATCCATGTTATGTTCTTTGAATGCTGGGATTTACGTAATGTGCAACAGACACTGAGAAAGGTAACAGAACACTGAAGTGAAAATGTAGTTGATACTCCATATTTGGTAAATAACCACTAAAAGCAGTCTCTGTGGCTAGATCAACTGGATCAAAAGTGGTTTGGTCTCAGGAACTAAAGTCTGATGATATTCAGCAGCCAGACGGTGAACCAGACAGTCACAGGATTTTGTGTTTTAGTTCATCAAACCTTAACCACATCATGTGTTTGAATCAGTGCCTAGGCCTGTTAGTGCTAAGAGCTCACATGAACAACAAAGAGACCTCCTTACAAATGCGGCCTTATCAGACCTGCATGGGCTCTCACACGTTGGAAACAAACACATAGCAAAACGTGCCTGAGCTATAGACTGCCACTGTTCAATAAGGAGAAGCAGACTCATACCAGGGAATGCCAAAACCACAACTTCTGCCTAGACAAAACATTACAGTAGTAAGCTAATGGTTTCAGTTATGTACTTAAAGACAAGGGAAAAACACATTACAGTTGGAAGTCACAGTGGACGTGCAACATTACTTGTGTTAATGAAATATACCAGAATGAAAGTTGTGCTTTAGTGCCATTTGTATTTGTGTGAATATATTGTCTGTGAATGTGGTGTGTACAAATTTATATTAAAGTATAACTTTGACAGTTTGGTAAATAAGGCTCCCACAGAAAGTGAATATCTATTCCAGGGGTGCACAACTCAGCCCAATTTGGTGATTTACCTGCTCAAACACACCTGATTCAACTCACCTGTTAATTGCCAGGTTTAGTGGGTGTGTCTGAGTAGGGAAACAACCAAACTGTGCTGGACACTGGCCCTCCAGGACCGGAGTTGTGCACCCCTGATCTATTCTATATAGAGGTGAGCGACATGGCAAAAAAACAACAGGAGAAGGAAAAAACAATCTTAACTTTTAATAGAAGTTATTGGAGAATTTATTTATTCCAATTAATTCTGAAGCTTTTGTATTGGTCCATTTATCATAAACTTTTGACACTATGTAAATGATGTCAAAAACTGAAAAAAATACAAAAATGCAGAGGTTTTGTCCCAATAGCAACGCTTCTGAGCAATATGTTCAGAAAGGCATAATATGATGTAATTTATCATGATAATGATAAATATCATCACATTGTCCACCCCTAATTCTATGTTAATCATATTTGTCTGCATTAAGAAATGTGCATGTTTGAAATTATTCAAAATGTTCTTTGCAATAGTAGCACAGCCCAACTGATACATCGGCTGCCAACATGGGCTTTTATCTGTACCTGTGAAAATATCACTGATAATTTGCTGATAATTACTGACTTTTTCAGGTCACAGCACTGCATGGGTTCAATCTCACAATCTCCTGATAGTAAGGCAAAGCACTGGACAGCTGCACCAAGTGGGCGTCCCTATTAATGACTCACCCACATTTTTTTAAATATATGACAGAAACACAGGTTGACCAGGTAAATTTGAACCCAACATAATATTTGTATTTGTATATCCAAACTTATTACAGCATTTGTTTACTTGTTCAGGTATTCAAATAAGGCAACAAATTAGCGAATGTTAAAGCTTCTACGTTTATCATTTTTAGATGTGAATCACCTAGACTTGGCTAAAGCGAATTTTTATGTTGTGAAAATGAACACGAGGAAAAACAGTGATGACTGACAAATCTCTACCATGCAAAAAGTTGCATGTACCATTTTAAAGCATTAACAGACAAAAACAGGCCTATCTGTAATTGCATTTCATCATTAATGGCAGTGTGTCAGACTTTGTCAGAAGCATCTATCTCTAACATCTAGTGATGGCAGCAGTTGAGACAACAGTTTAAATGGGACAATGTTTGTCTGGTGACTACATTCCCTCCACAGACGGCTGTGGGGACGGAGGGGGGAAGGGTGTCTGAAGATAAGAACTCTGAGAATAGAGGCCTTTACAGGCTGACTGTGGAGAAAATAAAGATGGTGGCTGAAATCAGACTTGCATGGCATGAGAATAACAACAGCTTTTATAATTCTCACACCACATGAGCTCTACATTCTCACACCACATCAGTTTTACACTTTCACATCACATCAGCTTTTCATTTTCAAATCAAGACTATTTCATGTTTTCATTCAAGCATTTAAGTTGGGCTCTGATGAACCGTCCTCCTCTTGTCCAACCAATAGTTATCTTAATGACCAATCTGGATTTTCTCAGCATTACAGAAAACACAGGATACAGCTGTCCCTCAAACACAGACCCACTCCCTCCTCTCTCCCGCTACAGAGGAAGAGAGATAATGCCCCTGATGTGTAGATAAACTGGACATCAACACAGTCTCCTAATGTTATACTGAGGGCAAACACCCTTTACGTGTTACTGCAAGCTGTAATAGGAAGCTGAGAAATGTCTAATAAACGATATAAGGAGGACCTTGCACTGAAACCAAAACATGGAACACAGATAACACAAAGAGACATTTCTTTGTCAGTAACCTTGAGTTTAATTATCAGTCTCTCACAGACATTTTATTGCTAACACTAAAGTACAACTCTAGCTCTGCAGGCAATTCAGATCAGAGCTTAATGAAACAGTTTAAATGCTCTGTAAAACATGAGCTTTTTTAAATAGGTAAAGCAATTACGTGCAATAGTATGTTTTTGTAGCCCCTCACTTGATTTCTTCTATTTTTGCTAATTTGTCACGTTTATAAATTTTAATATAAGATAAAGACAACACAAGTAAAAATACAGTACAAAATTCAACTTTTAAATGATCATTATGATTTTTGAAGATAAGCATTTATTTAAAACCTATATCACCCATGTATAAAAGTAGTTGCCCCTAAACCTAGTAACTGGTTGTGCCACTCTTGGCAGTATCAACTGCAATCAATTGTTTATGATAACTTGCGATGAGTCTTTCACATCACTGTGGAGGAATTTTGGCTCACTTTTCTTTGCAGAACTGTTTTAATTCAGCTACACTGGAGGGTCTCCATTCATGAACTGCCTGTTTAAAGTCTTGCCACTGCATCTCAATGCGATTCAAGTCAGGACTCAGCCACTCCAGAACCTTAATGTTGTTTTCTTTGATCCATTCAAAGGTGGACTTGCGAGTGTGCTCTGGATCATTGTCCTGCAGCATAATCCACCTGCACCTAAGCTTTAGGTCATGAACTGAGGGGCGGACATTTTCCTTCAGGATTTTCTGATAGAGAGCAAAAGGCAAGTGATTTAGATGTTTATCTGGGTTCTTCTGTGACCTCCTGGTAGAGTTGTCTACGTGCTCTTGGTGAAATTTTGGTAGGCCACCAACCTGGGAAAGATCAATACTTTTCTCCATTTGTGGATACTTGCTCTCACTGTGGTGTGCTGGAGTCCCAGACCCTTAGCAATGACTTTGGAACACCTATTAGACAGGCAGATTTCAATAACTTTGTTTCACATTCGTATTTGAATCTCTTTAGAACGTGGC